CTTTAAGTCAACTGAACAGTCGTGCTACCCAGAACTGCCTTTGACTCGCCACAAAAGAGACTCATCAGTCCACTGACCCTAGATCTTATCTTCACACACACCCCCTCTCTCCACTCCCTACCTGCTCCAGTGACGCAGCGCCATATCTAAAGCAGGACGACGACAGCTGCGTCTGCAGCAGCAGCACCGCCATGCCCCACAGCCGAGATCCCACCACACGCACCCTCACTCAACTTGCCTTGCCCCACCACCTCTAACGACGATGCGCCATATCTAAAGCAGGACGACGACAGCTGCGTCTGTAGCAGCGACCAATGGGCGGCTGTAGGGTAATGTATATATAGGTGTTACTTTTGAGAATTCTCATCTGCAGCCAGTGCAACTCACCCCCTGTGACACCCCATTTGCCTGCCTGCTCCAGCGATGCTGGACCATATCCCATGTAGGATGATGACAGCTGCGACTGCAGCAGCAGCAGCAGCAGACTGAGGCCCATTGCACTGCCATACCCCCCTCCGCCCTACCTGCTCCCACCCCCTCCGCCCCACCCCCTCCGCCCTACCTGCTCCAGTGACGCTGCACCATTCCCCCACTCTCCGCCCTACCTGCTCCAGTGACGCTGCACCATTCCCCCACTCTCCGCCCTACCTGCTCTAACGACGCTGCGCCGTGTCCAAAGTAAGACGGCAACAGCTGAGTCTGTAGCAGTGACCAGTGGGCGGCTGTGGGGTAATGCATATACAGTGCAACTCAGCTCACCCCCTGTGACACCCCACATGCTCACCTGCTCTAGTGAAGCAGCGCCGTGTCCGAAGTAAGACGACGACAGCTGAGTCTGCAGCAGTGACCAACTGCCAGCGAGGCACAACTTGCATCGCATCGTGATACCGATGCATACACTGCAGTAGGACGACAGCTGAGTCTGCAGCAGCAGCAGTGACCAACTGCCAGTGAGGCACACTTGCATCGCATCTACATACACTGTACGTACGTAGTGATACAGATGCATACACTGTACGTAGTGATACAGATGCATACACTGTACGTAGTGATACAGATGCATACACTGTACGTAGTGATACAGATGCATACACTGTACGTAGTGATACAGATGCATACACTGTACGTAGTGATACAGATGCATACACTGTACGTAGTGATACAGATGCATACACTGTAGGTACGTAGTGATACAGATGCATACACTGTACGTAGTGATACAGATGCATACACTGTACGTAGTGATACAGATGCATACACTGTACGTAGTGATACAGATGCATACACTGTACGTACGTAGTGATACAGATGCATACACTGTACGTACGTAGTGATACAGATGCATACACTGTACGTAGTGATACAGATGCATACACTGTACGTAGTGATACAGATGCATACACTGTACGTAGTGATACAGATGCATACACTGTACGTACGTAGTGATACAGATGCATACACTGTACGTAGTGATACAGATGCATACACTGTACGTAGTGATAGAGATGCATACACTGTACGTAGTGATACAGATGCATACACTGCAGTGACTGCACGCGCACTCCCCACCTGCTCTGAGGTGGTTTTTGAGGCGCCTCAAAAACCACCTCAATTGCAAGCGAGGCACACTTGCATTGCATCGTGATACAGATGCATACACTGCACGCCCACTCCCCAACTGCTCTAACGGCGTTGCCCCGTATCCAAAGTAAGACGACGACAGCTGAGTCTGCAGCAGCGACCAACGAGCGGCTGAGGGCCGCTGGATTTGTACACAGTGCACTCACCTCCTGGGATATCCCCGTGTATGAAGAAGTGTTTTGAGACGTCTCAAAACACGGCCGCTGGATATGTACACAGTGCACTCACCTCCTGTGATATCCAGGTGACTTTTGAGTCGACTCAAAAGTCACCTCGTTACAATGGCACTGTATACAGTGCACTCACCTCCTGGGATATCCCCACTTGCCATACCTGCTCTAATGACGCAGCGCCGTATCCAAAGTAAGACGATGAAAGCTGAGTCTGCAGCAATGACCAATGGGCGGCTGCCAGCTCGGACGCCAGCCTGGCGGTGTACTGCGTCGGCAGCAGCCCGTCCGTGAGGCCACCAAGGATGATGACGTGGCGGGGGAAATCGGACGAGCGGAAGGCGACCTGAGAGGGGAAAGTGGGAGAGAAGACAGGAGGAAGAGATGACTTATGTATGAGACCCCCCTTCCCCCCCACCTTCCTCCACCTAAGATGGTGGCATGGCGAAGGAAAGAGAGTGTTAAATTTCTCCTTCCCTAGGATGATGACGTGGCGGGGGAAGTCGTATGAACGGAATGCAACCTGGGAGGTGGAGGGTGGAGGAGGGGGGGGGATGGGGGTAAAGGATTGTTCTATGTGATCCTGCCCCTTCCCTAGGATGATGACGTGGCAGGGGAAGTCGTTTGAGCGGAAGGCGACCTGAGAGGGGCAAGTGGGAGAGAAGACAGGAGGAGGAGATGACTTGTGTATGAGACCCCCCCTTCCCCCCACCGCTGCAGGGTATTTTTGTGAATTCTCAAAAATAACCTGCAGGAACGTGGGAGAGAAGACAGGAGGAAGAGATGACTTGTGTATGAGCGGAAGGCGACCTGGAGGTAAGGCGGAAGTCACGAGGAGAGGGTGGGGGGGGGGAAGAGGGGCGGAGAGAAACAAGTCAGGATGATGTGACGTGAGACACGACCTGTGAGATCCTTTTGAGAATTCTCGAAAGCGCTTTCCATGCTTCTGAGAATTTTTTAAAAATGATGTGGGACACGACCTGTGATATCATTCCACCCCCCCCTCCTCTCCCCCATCTCCACCTAGGATGATGATGTGGCAGGGAAATCGGACGAGCGAAGAGCAACCTGGGGGAAGGCGAGAGAGAGACGGTGGGAGGGGAAGGGGGGGAATAGGGGGTGCGCGGAGGGGAGGGGGGGGGGAGGGGAGGGAGGTTGTTATCTGTGACGTGGAGGGGGAAGTCGGACGGACGGAAGACTTTTGAGTCGACTCAAAAGTCACCTCGTTTTGAGTCGACTCAAAAGTCAACTCAAGAGTCGACCCATAATTCACCTCTGTGACGTGGAGGGGGAAGTCGGACGGACGGAAGGCGACGTGGGGGAAAGGCGAGAGACACAGGGAGGGTTAGCCACGTGATAAAAGTTGAGTTCTGAGACGTCTCAGAACTCAACTTTTATCACGGAAGGCCACCTGGAAGGAAGGAGAGAGACACACGAGGGGTCCCTGCGTCTTCCACAGATCACAGGGAGAAACAAGTTACCTGTTGAGTCCCTTCCCCCCTCCCCCCTTCTCCCCTCTTCCTTCCCCATTCTCTGCTTCCCCCTCCCCTTCTCCCCCGCCTCCACCTAGGATGATGACGTGGCGGGGGAAGCCGAACGAGGAGGGCGACCTGGGATGAGCGAGGCGCGCAGGGATTGGTTGGAGATTCAGTGCGAGGTGTATGCTTATAATGAGTAAACACTATAGCGAGGACGCACCTTAACGCCCATCTCCCCCCACCGGAACAGCACCCCGCGCATCTCCATCCCCACGCCCCCCGCTCCGCCATCCACGTTTTCCGCCTCCTCGATTATACCGCCGCTCGCCATTGTCCCGCTTTCACCGCCGCTTATCACGGCGCTTCCACCAGCGAATCGCGAAACCCCGCCGGCGCTACACGACCGGCAAATCGCCTTTCGCCGAAATTTCCCGCCTTTCCGCCGGCTGCTTGTGAATTCTCGCCAAAAACCAGGCAGCACGATATTCCCAAGGCGTCCTATCGGGGAATCACTAGCAGAGAATCCGAGATTCGCGGAGATCCCTAGACAAGACGGAATCCGTCGAGCCGACTGAATCTGGATTGGCCAAAACGAGGTCAACCCTAACGAGCCCATGGAACGCCCATGGCCCACTCGCGGACCGACACGTGGAATGGCGCGTCTGGGGGGAAGTGTGCAAGCGCGCGCCGTCTGAATACAGTTTTTTCGCGGGATTCGCGGCGTCGGAGGTACGTTTCGGTCTGTGTGGGTGCGGTGGTGATGGTGGACGAGGGAGGATTTACGCATCCGTTACTGCTTTGTTCCGCTGTTGCTTTAAGCCATTTCCTAGCATATCTAAACAAATCTTATTGAACATATCTTAGAAGGTTTCAGTTGATTGACAACTTGAAACTTTCTGATTGGCAACTACCTATAAAGAAATAATCATAACGAGACTCTCGCCGCTGTATGCTTTTAACCTTGCAGCAATACCACAGCAGAGCCAAACTACCGTCATACCCCGGATATACCCCCTATGGAGGGCAATAATAAAACAGGTTTTTTTAGGGGGGTGGGCTTATAATTGAGTAAATATATAAGCGCCGGCGTTTATAAAATGACATATATGTTTTTTATATTTTTTAACACCATACTGTAGATCTCGTGCTTGCCTTTTCAATCGAGTCGAAGTTACATGGGGTCGTCTGTGAAATTCTCTCTCGCGCAGGGAGATACACCCAATCTGACTCACATCCAGCTCCTGACAGCTCCTGACAGCTCCTGCTGACTGGACCCGCATCCAGTGCAGGGTCCGAATGTGAAGGGAACCGAATCTGCAACACATCCGCCTGCTAAAGTAAAAATCGTTACAGCGTTTTGAACACATTTCAAATTTTAAAGTTTACGTGCGCTTATAATAAAACAAGTTTTTTCAGGGGGTGCGCTTATAATCGAGCAGGGGATATAAGCGCCACACGCCAATTAAAAGCGCCAGGCGCTTATCCGAGGGTGGCGCTTATATCTGGAGTATGACGGTACCAGAAACAACAATGGTTGCTTGCTCCCCCTCATCAGAATCTTTGCAAGCAGCATCCACTGGTTTCCCAGTTTCGAGCTGAGGGCTGACCACGCAAAAGGGGGTGATATGCATGGCCTCTCCTTGCATTATTAAAAATCAGCCTCTTCAGCATGCGAACCATCTGATACTACGGTAACTGACATACGTCCTAATTACTGTAGTCTAGTTGGCACCCAGGATGGAATTGCCTTGGGAGAAATGACACTGAACACGCCCTCAACAGCAGTGCGGCCTCCCGTTGCCGGAACAGCACCCTCCCCTCTTGCAGCACATCTGCCCCCCGCAGCACGGGTACTCCGAGTCCTGTGGGATTACCCGAAAAAGAAACAGTGAAGAAAAACAGTGGATCGGCACACAAAAACAGTGAAGTTTTTTTCTGCACTCAAGGAGCAATAACCTCCCCTCTTGCAGCACATCTGCCCCCCTCAACACGGGTACTTCGGGTCCTGTGAAAGTTACGGGAAAAAAGAGGACAAGGGAGAACGGTGAAAGTGGGGAACAAGTAAAGGGAAGAAGGGTGAACGGGGCTAGCGGGGTAGAACACGGAAAGAATCTTACAGGAAAGGGATGAATCGGGTGGAAGGACTGGAAACGGGGAAAGGGGAAAGGAGAAAAAGAGATGGGTGAGTGGGAGGGATGGCGGCAGAGATGGAATGGGTAACGTACAATTTAGCAGGCGCCACTGCAGATAGTGAGAGGAAGGGGAGGAAAAGGGGCAGAAGAGGGGGGATGGGGGGGGGAAGGGGGGGGGTGGGGAAGGGAGAGAAACGGGGAAGTTGGGGGAATTGGGGACGTACAATGCAGCAGGTGCCGCCGCAGAAGGTTCTGGGCGGAAGGGGAGGAATAGGGTCAGGAGAGGTGGGGGCGAGGGGGGGGGGGGGGTAGGGGGGATTTTGGGAGGGGTTAGGGGGACGTACGATGCAGCAGGCACCGCCGCAGAAGATGCTGGGCGGAGAATTGCCCGGGCGGCCCGCGTAGGGGCAGTAGCCCTCGCCGCCTCCTGCGCTGCTCGTGCTCCGCTTCCCGTGCTTCCTTGTCTGGTATGCCCCGCTACCGCTGCGCTGCTCGTGCTCGCGCTCCGCTTCCCGTGCTTCCTTGTCTGGTATGCCCCGCTACCGCCGCTTCCGCTGCTGCTGCTGCCGCTGCCGCTGCTGGTGTTGCTACTAGACTTGTGTTTTTTGGAGTTTTCGCTGCGACTCTTGGTGGCCTCGCTAGTCTTGCTGGTGTGGCTAGAAGAGGAGGAGGACGAGGAGGAGGAATGAGAGTCACTGGAAGATCTTAGCACGCGCCCGCCATTGATCCCCCAAGCGTCGGCGCGATCCCCGCCGCTGCTGGCGGCATGCGGGCCCGACGCGATTTCCGCTTCACTGGCCCCAGAGTCGGTTTCAGGAGCGGCAGCTGCTCGCAGTAAGAGTTGTTCGGAGGAGAGGACGACGATAGCGGTCGTTACAACCGCAAGGAGGAGGTAACGAGTGGTGGAAGCCATTATGATCGTGGTCGATCGGTTTGCTGGCGGATGCGAGTAGAAGATGTTTGAGCTATTTCAGTCTCACGGATAAGCTGCTGGTTTGATCGACAAAGAGGTTGAATCGACTGATAAGGTATTGACATCAGTCTGGTAGTTATGCTGATCGCGTTTCACGCAGCACGGATTCGAATCGCGACGACGATAGCAGGTTTTCATCAAAACTCTGCAGGAGCTGAATTGGGGGGAGCAGTTGAGGTGTGGAGGTAGGATTGGGTGGGTGGTGGTGAGGTGAAATCCTGTCGGCGATTGAAGTGTTTTGCGAAGCGCGCAATGTTGCGTGGCGGCGAATGGGATGGGAGGCATTTTTCCCGCTTGGCGTGGCGTGAGGGAGACTGATGGGGGTGGTGGTGGTGTGGTGTCCCTGGCAGGGCACTTTTCATCGTGGCGCCGCACTGCTGGTCAAAAGCTGGAGTCGTGGTCCATTTTTTCTGACTGCACATCCGTATGGTTTCGGATGGTTCACGATTGTTTTTCTACGGTTCGAAACATATTTGCGGGATTATCAGGAAACAGAGCAGATCCACTCAAGGGACCGCGTCAGGGCTGCTCAGGGCTTCAAGTTTCCGTTGACCCGAGAAAGGTATGCTTCGAGAGCTTCGACAAGATACAACACCGGCAATTGCTTTGCTAACATAAAACCAAAACAACAATATTTCTCAGCTCTTGCGTATTCATAATGTTGAAAACAGATATGTTACTGGTTTTAGGGGGAAAAAACCTCATCCGGGTGTCAAACCGTCTGCTGTTTGCAACCAGATCTGCTTTTGACAAGGATGATATGGTTCAGCTGACACCACACTACACCACATTGCACCGCATAATACCCAACCACACTACACCACACCACCCTGTTGTCACTCTCTTGGATACGTTCTCCACTTGTAGTATCCAGTCGCATCACCTCGCCACTCATAACACCTCGTCCCATAGCTTCGCCACTCCTAGTAGCTCCTCGCATAGCTTCGCACTCGTTCGCGTAGCTTCGCCAGCGTCGTCACGAATCAGACACACCCTTTCATCCGTACACGGGCGCCCGTCCGTCCGCCGCGTCCGCATCCAAGGCACTATTCATCCTCGCGATTCGCGAATCATCTTGCCGTAGAGGTACGTTTCGCGGTTCATCCCTCGCCTGCCTTTGATCAGACTCGAAAGTAATTCCAAAACTCATTTTGAATGTCAGCCGATCACCTCGCCATAGAAGTGAGTCCTCCTCGCATGCCAGCTTAACTGACGGCGTGGCGTGTGACTTACAGGACAAGGAGGTCAATCTTAGCGGCGCCTAAGAAAAAGACATCAGTAAGAACTGCACTGTCAAACAGTTACACGACTTTATACCACCCGGATTGTCATTCTTAGGCGTATTTTTCCGCCTTGCTACCCCACCAATTCACCGCTACTACCGCCAGGAATACCTCGTGTGATGAGTCTATTCATAATTCGACTCAAAAGTAAATAATTTCCGCCCTGCTACCCCACCAATTCATCACAACTACCGCCACGAATACCCCTTCATCCGTCTCCGTCTCATTCCACCCTCGGGGCTCGCATCCCGTCACCACCTCCCCTTCCAGCAAGCCCCATGGGAGCAGAGTATCTAGACGCTGGGGAACGAGCGGAACCAGCAGTGGATGTGCCTGTGGATGTACTTTGATCCCCCCGTCCACTCCTGCTCCTCTCTTTCCTCGTGCTATCCAGCAGGCGCCATGGGAGCGGAGTATCTAGACGCAGGGGAACGAGCGGAACCAGCAGTGGATGTGCCTGTGGATGAATTGTGATGAGGCTGAAAGTCCCCACGTCCACTCCCGGTCTTCCCTTGATGCAACCCAGCAGGCGCCATGGGAGCGGAGTATTTAGACGCAGGGGAACGAGCGGAACCAGCAGTAGAAGTTTCTGTGGATGAGCGTCTGTCAGCAGAGCCAGCCGCTGAGGGGCGCACGCCAATGACTCTGGAGCAGTACCGTGAATGGAAGGCGAGGAAGGTGAGCTTGTATGTGTATGGGGACCTACTAGGGGACCTGCTAGCAGAGCCAGCCGCTGAGGGGCGCACGCCAATGACTCTGGAGCAGTACCGTGAATGGAAGGCGAGGAAGGTGAGCTTGTATGTGTATGGGGACCTACTAGGGGACCTGCTAGCAGAGCCAGCCGCTGAGGGGCGCACGCCAATGACTCGGGAGCAGTACCGCGCGTGGAAGGCGAGGAAGGTGAGCTTGTATGTGTATGGGGACCTACTAGGGGACCTGCTAGCAGAGCCAGCCGCTGAGGGGCGCACGCCAATGACTCTGGAGCAGTACCGTGAATGGAAGGCGAGGAAGGTGAGCTTGTATGTGTGTGGGGACCTACTAGGGGACCTGCTAGCAGAGCCAGCCGCTGAGGGGCGCACGCCAATGACGCTGGAGCAGTACCGTGAATGGAAGGCGAGGAAGGTGAGCTTGTATGTGTATGGGGACCTACTAGGGGACCTGCTAGCAGAGCCAGCCGCTGAGGGGCGCACGCCAATGACTCGGGAGCAGTACCGCGCGTGGAAGGCGAGGAAGGTGCGTTGTGTTTGAAGGGTGTGCTGTGACTGAAAGCCGGGTTAGAGTCTCATCTGCCAGGGGAGCCAGCAACTGAGGGCGCACGCCAATGACTCTGGAGCAGTACAGGCAATGGAAGGCCAGGAAGGTGAGCGTCAGGTGTGCTAGAAAGCCCTGCTCTGGCCAGATAATACAAGGAACCAGCAGTCGATGCACCTGTGGGTGAGAACCTGCCAGTAGAGCCAGCAACCGCACGTCAATGACTCTGGAGCGGTACCGTGCGTGGAAGGCCAGGAAGGTGAGCGTCAGGTGTGCCAGGGTTCTTGTTTGTCCAGTTGAAAGGAACCAGCAATTCATCCGCCTGTGGATGAGAACCTGCCAGGGGAGCCAGCAGCTGAGGGCCGCACACCAGTGGCCCTGGAGCAGTACCGTGCGTGGAAGGCCAGGAAGGTGAGTTTGAAGGTGTGCCAGGATTCGTTCTTCCTTATCCTCATGAAGGAACCAGCAGTCGATGCACCTGTGGGTGGGTATCTGCCTGCAGAGCCAGCAGCCGAGGGCCAGGCTTGTGCCAATGACTCTGGAGCAGTTCCGCGTGTGGAAGGCCAGGAAGGTGAGTTTGAAAGTGAGCTTCCAGTGTATGTGAAGGATGTGAACAAGGATGTTTTCGTTGTATGTGTGAAGTTTGATTTTCTTCAAGTGTGTGGGGGGCCATGGCTGCCGGGTTGGCCTGAATCCATCATCCGGCGTGGGTCACTTGACTGTTTCTGTTGTGGATTCCGAGGCGCCTCAAAATACACCTCAATGCTCGCGGTTGGCCTGAATTTATCACCCGGCGTGGGTCAGTTTACTGTTTCTGTTGTGGCTGTGGACTTGTCAGTGATTAGCTGTTTATTTTCCTCCCCATTGTTCTCGACCTAAGTTTTTTCGGGATTTATCCCCTTGCCGATCTGATTTTGGTTCTGTCTTATCCCGTCCTTGTCTCTTATGGCTTAGGACCAAGAGGAAAGTGCAAGGAAAGAGGAGGCAGCCAGGAAAAGAGCAGAGGACATAGCAGCGGGGCGAGTGCCTATGAATGGAAGAGAGCTGTTTATCCATGAGCCCTGGGTGTTTGATGATTCGAGATGTACCTAGTTTTGTATATGGTATATTACTGTATGAGCTGAGAACCTCTAATGAATTGCTGATACCGCGTACTGTATGGATCTTTCACCTCACTAGAAACCCGTATATTGCATTCAAAACTTGTGAGCCTGATTGAACCACGCCAAAAAATCGAACCTGCGGAGGTTCGATCGCAGGTTCGGCGTTGATGGGATTTAGGCTTGATCGCAGGTTTGGCGTATGCACGTAACATGTCATACTTCGGTTGTGTACTGATTCGCAGCAGATTTCGCCTGTCGCAGAAGCCCTGTGGGGTAACCACTGTATACCCTGCCTGTCCCACCCCACCCCACCTTTCTCCTCCGCCCTCGCATCTGTTTTCCCCCTCGCTTGTTACCCACCCCTCCCTAATCACGTGCTGAAGTTTATAGACAGCTCGCTAAGTCTGCTCGCTTGAACCTAGCTGGATTCGCGGCAGGCCAGGACGCGTCGACGCCTCGTTTGCGCTTTTGCCGTTCGCGGTTTGAGATTCAAGTATAGGGTTTCGAGGTGAAAGTAAAAGGGACGTCATCGCGCGTCGATCAGGGTGTAGTCGACTTAATTCGCCGATATTACAGACGAGGATCAGACTTTAATTGTCAAGGATCGGACGAGCATTTCAGATTAGTCGTTAAACGTAAAGGATCAGACGTGATCGACTGAAGTCTAGCGTTAACGGTTGAGAATCAAACGGTCACGGTCAGAGTCAGACGTTCGCCGTCAAGGATCTGACGTTAACAGTCAAGGACCAGACGTTAACGGACAGCGTGGGAGCATGGAGATCCCGAGGGAAGACTTTGAGCGAATCATGTTCTTCGAGCAGACGAGGGAGCAGGCGATGGCAGAGTTCAAGAAGAACCCACATGACGCCGATGTGAGTAAGAGTAATCTCACGGGGACTGCTGTTTGGCCCGCTTGAAATGCGAATCATGTTCTTCGAGCAGACGAGGGAGCAGGCCATGGCAGAATGCTAGAGGAAGCCGCATGATGCCGATGTGAGTAGTTTGATGGTGGATTGTTGGTTCAAGCGGTGTACGCTTCAAGAGCAGGAGATGGTAGAGTCCAGAACCCACATGACGCCGATGTGAGTACTTTCACGGGGGCTGTTGGTTCAAGTTGGGCCCGCTTGAATTGCGAATCATGTTTTCCGAGCAGACGAGGGAGCACATGTAGGTGTGCTGAGAATTCAGCAACATATAGACATGGTCGCAGGTATAGTCGCAGAGACTGTCGCAAGTATCGTCGCAGCTGCGGTCGCAGGTACTGTCGCAGGTTGACCGCAGGTATGGTTCCAAGTGCTGTCGCAGGTACGGTCGCTGGTGCGATCGCAGGTACGGTTGCAAGTTCAGCCGCAGGTACAGTCGCAGGTACAGTCGCAGGTACGGTCGCTGGTTCGATCGCAGGTACAGTCGCAGGTGCGGTCGCAGAGCGCAGACCCGTAGCATGTGGCGGGGTTGAGTCGTCCAGGTGTCAGGCGCTGTTATTGTCGAACCCTTGCAAAATCCGGCGAGGTTTTTTCCTTGCGAGGTGACCTTTGAGTCGACTCAGAGGTGAGTCGATCGACTCGAAAGTGAGTCGTCCAGGTGTCAGGCGCTGTTATCGTCGAACCCTTGCAAAATCCGGCGAGGTTTGGTCCTTGCGTTTCTGCTTCTCTGCTTCTCTGCCTCTTCGCGTCTCATATTTTCTGCTTCCCTGCTTCCCTGCTTCTCTGCTTCTCTGCTTCTCTACTTTTCTGCTCATCTGCTCCTCTCCTTTCATCGTCCCCATCTGTGCCACTCAGAATCTGACCAAGCTTGGCCGAACACTCGTGGAGCTGGCGCAATTCATTCAGGGGCAGGAGTCGAACGAGTTTGTTTTCTACCCCTCTGCACTCCTCTGCACTCCTATGCCCTTCTGCTTCCCTCCTTGCAGAATCTGACCAAGCTCGGCCGAACACTCGTGGAGCTGGCGCAATTCATTCAGGGGCAGGAGTCGAATGAGATGCTGGATGGTGAGTGTAACAGAGGGCTTATAACGAGTTTGTAACTAGACGACTTGACTTGTAACGGGGTCTGAGGTTGCCTATAACCAAAATAACTATACTTGCTGGTGGAGCTGGCGCAGCTCATTTAAGGGCAGGAGTCGAACGAGATGCTGGACGGTGAGTGTAACGGGTCTGCTCATAACGAGTCAAAAGGCTGTTGATAAAATGGACTTGCGCGGTTCATTCGGGGGCAGGAGTCGAACGAGATGCTGGACGGTGAGTGTAACGGGTCTGCTTATAACGAGTCAAGAGGCTGCTTTTCAAAGGATTTTATTCAACTGCAAGTTGGCTGCCGCAGCTTATTCAGGGGCAAGAGTCCATTGAGTTGATGGATGGTGAGTGTTACAACGCTTCCCTCCACTTCCCTCCGCTTCCCTCCATCCCCTCCCCTCCCCTCCCCTCCCCTCCCCTCCCCTCCCCTCCCCTCCCCTCCCCTCCCCTCCCCTCTTCCAAATGTTCTTCTCCTCCCCTTCCCCACACTCTATCGTCAGATGCCTTGTCAGTTCGATGAGTCCCTGACGATCTCCCTGTCTTGCCCCAACACCCTCTGACTACTTTTGAGGCGCCTCAAAAGTCGTCTCAGTTCGATGAATCCCTGACCGTCTCCCTGTCTCGCCCCATCACCCTCTGACTACTTTTGAGGCGCCTCAAAAGTCGTCTCAGTTCGATGAGTCCCTGACGATCTCCCTGTCTTGCCCCAACACCCTCTGACTACTTTTGAGGCGCCTCAAAAGTCGTCTCAGTTCGATGAATCCCTGACCGTCTCCCTGTCTCGCCCCAACACCCTCTGACTACTTTTGAGGCGCCTCAAAAGTCGTCTCAGTTCGATGAATCCCTGACCGTCTCCCTGTCTCGCCCCAACACCCTCTGGCTACTTTTGAGGCGCCTCAAAAGTCGTCTCAGTTCGATGAATCCCTGACCATCTCCCTGTCTCGCCCCAACACCCTCTGACTACTTTTGAGGCGCCTCAAAAGTCGTTTCAGTTCGATGAATCCCTGACCGTCTCCCTGTCTCGCCCCAACACCCTCTGGCCTGCGGCGTGCCGGTGGCTCCGAGGCGTCTCACTCAAACGTGCTCCTCCTCCCCTTCAAATGCCGTGTCCAAGTTTGATGAAGCACTCAAGATCGCACTGTCTCGCTCGCCCCAACACCCTCTGGCCTGCGGCGTGCCGGTGGCTCGGAGGGGTCTCACTCAAACGTGCTCCTCCCTTTCCATCCCGTCCCCGATTCTCCCCATCCTCTGCCTTCAAATGCCGCGTCCAAGTTTGATGAGGCTCTCAAGAAGATCTCCCCTTCTCGGCCTGACACTCTGTGGTGGCTTGGCAACGCACAGAGTGCTCTCACAGAGTGCTGTATCCAAGTTTGATGAGGCTCTCAAGATCTCCCCTTCTCGGCCTGACACTCTGTGGTGGCTTGGCAACGCGCACACCACGAAGGGCTTTCAGTCTCAGACGCCTGATGCCTTCAAATGCTGTATCCAAGTTTGATGAGGCTCTCAAGATCTCCCCTTCTCGGCCTGACACTCTGTGGTGGCTTGGCAACGCACAGAGTGCTCTCACAGAGTGCTGTATCCAAGTTTGATGAGGCTCTCAAGATCTCCCCTTCTCGGCCTGACACTCTGTGGTGGCTTGGCAACGCGCACACCACCAGGGGTTTTCATTTCAGGCTCTTTTGGGCTAGGGCACACTCAGTGGGCTTTAAGACGTCCCACAAATCCCCCTCTTCTCCTCCCCTCTCCACTCCTCCTTTCATCTCCTTTCCAAATGATTTCCCTTCCTTCCTTGCCGCGCCCTGTCCTCAGATGCCGTATCAAAATTTGACGAAGCCTTGAAGATCGCCCCATCTCGCCCCGACACGCTGTGGTGGCTCAGCAATGCGCACACCACGAGGGGCTTTCAGACGCCTGACGCCCAATGTTCCACCCCTCTTCTTTCGTTCTTTCCTTTTCTAGATGCTGTCTCGAAATTTGACGAAGCTCTCAAGATCGCCCCATCTCGCCCGGACACGCTGTGGTGGCTCGGCAACGCGCACACCACGAGGGGCTTTCAGACACCTGACGCTACTCTTGCGAACGTCAGCTTTGAAAAGGCCTCCGACTGCTTCAGGAAGGCGCTGGATGCGGTACGTCATGGTTCAATGTGGTTCAGTGCGGTTCAGCGCGGCTCTTTAGCATGTTGGGGTATGGTTTTTCTGTACGGCTTGGCAATGCGCGCACCACGAGGGGATTCCAGACGCCCGATGCCACCCTGGCCAACGCGGTAGGTGTGGTTCAGTGCGGTTCTCCGTGGTTTAGTTGTCATTGCGCACACCACGAGGGGGTTCCAGACACCCGATGCCACAATGGCCAACGTCAGCTTTGAGATCGCACCCCTTCAAACATTCAAACCTTCAACCTTTCAACTTGTAAACCTTCTCCCCCCCATGGCATGGCAGGACCCGAGCAACGACTCCTACCGCTAGTCACTGGTGGGGGCGGTATCCCTTACCCCATCACCTTCAACCCCAATCTGTACCGCACACCCCCCCTTCGTCTCACTGCCTGTGTGCTGGCAGGACCCGAGCAACGACTCCTACCGCAAGCAAGTCACTGGAGGGGCGGTCTCCCTTACCCCTTCACCTTCAACCCCAATCTGTACCGCACACCCCCCCTTCGTTTCACTGCTTGTGTGCCTCACTGGCTGGCAGGACCCGAGCAACGACGCCTACCGCAAGTCTTTGGAGGGGCGTGACGCCTTAACCGTTCACCTTAGAGGCTAATGTGTATCATAAACCCTCCTCCCCTACTGCTTGTGTGCTGGCAGGACCCGAGCAACGACGCCTACCGCAAGTCACTGGAGATCTCTCTGAAGGTGAGACCCCGTTTGGGTGTGTTTTGCTGTGTTTTCCCCACCTGATGCCAAATCCTCTTGGCGTTTCAATTCCGGTGTTTCTGTTGAGATGCATCAGGAGGTGGAGAGACGCAGATACCTCGTAAAGTGTTCTACTTCCTTGGTTATGTTTGGCTGATATTGAGTTGTATCTTATTACTAACAAGTTTTCTTGAACCGGTTGCAGGGCCCGGAGTTGCATCAAGAGGTGCAGAAGCAGATGGCACTACAGCAGGCGCTGGGAGCGGCAGTGCATCCATCGTCCATGGATGCTCCCAAGGTACTGTACTCTCATCAATGCACTTTCAATGTTGTCTAGTGCACTTGAACCGGAGTTGCATCAAGAGGTGCAGAAGCAGATGGCACTACAGCAGGCGCTGGGGGCGGCTGTGCACCCATCGTCCATGGATGCTCCCAAGGTATGACGATCCTTTAATGACCCACTTATCCTGATTTTCGTGGGCTCTTGGTAACATCCGTTGCTGGGGGCGGCTGGGGCAGCAGCAGTCATTGGGGGCGGCTGTCCATCTATCCACCTTCGCCATGTCAGTCGATCTGAACGGGCCTGTTTTCTGATTTCGAGCTGCAGAGTGGTGATTTGAAGTGCCGCACCTCACCGTATGGCTCTGACTGCTTCCCCATCTGCAGGTCCAGAAGAAAAAGAAGAGCAGCGATCTGTGGTATGACGTGGCAGGGTGGGTGATTTTGAGTGTGGGTGTGGTAGCGTGGCTCAGCATCCTCAGTGCGCGAGCGCCGCCCCCTGCCGCTGCCAAGTAATTGGGAGGATAATGGTAGGTAGTTATGCTGCTGCTGCTGCGGCCTATTGGGAGGATAATTCTAGGTATGCTGCTGCAGCATGGTGATTTTAAGTGTGGGTGTGTTGGCTTGGCTTAGCATTCTCAGTGCTGGAGTGCCGCCTCTTGCCGCTGTCAAGTGATCCTGATGCAGTAGCAGCAGCAAGCAACACTACCAAAAGTGGAGGAGCAACTTGAAACGCTGATACAGTAGTTGCTCTGCTGTTCCATTTTGGTAGTTTCAAGATTAGTCCACTGCTGGATAGATGTAGTGTTTCTCCAATGAATACTGGCTACATGTAGCGTGGAAGCTGTCCATTTTCCTCCTATTGATTTGACTACCGCCGTGGTCACTTGGTTGAAATATGGTGAGATGGTGACCATTGAAACATGGTTCAACAGATAGGGCTGTCCATTTGGAATGTGAAGTTGTCTGCACAAGGCGCAGAGAGGTAAGAATAAAAGATTCTTTGTACAATCATGATCAATAACATCAAAATCAATGACAACGGTTAACTACGGTAAAGGCTACAACTTCTACATGTCTAAGCTAGTTCATGGTGACCGGCTAGCCGCCGAAGCCGTATAGTGTTCTGCCTTGGCGTTTCAAAGCATAAACCACATCCATGGCGGTGACGGTTTTTCTCCTGGCGTGCTCCGTATAAGTCACAGCGTCGCGAATAACATTCTCAAGAAACACCTTCAACACGCCACGTGTCTCTTCGTAGATTAAACCGCTGATACGCTTGACACCGCCGCGGCGAGCGAGACGCCTGATAGCCGGCTTGGTGATACCCTGAATGTTATCGCGAAGAACCTTCCTGTGACGTTTCGCTCCTCCCTTTCCAAGGCCCTTGCCTCCCTTGCCGCGTCCCGACATGGCAATTTGTCAGAATTTCCGCAGGAAGTGGAAAGGGAACGTTGCAGAGGACACGCAAATCAAGTTTTGGATGAGTAGACGGTGCTGAGCAAGAGAGACCTGCGAGAAAGCCTAGAAGCTGAAAGTAATGTGCTGAGCTTCTTGACAGCTGCTGGATGTTGGGCGCTTGAGTGATGAGGGGAACGGTGATGTTCTAGAACAAACTACCACCCTCCATTTATAGGTGGATCCCCTTGGCCCCTCTGTTGTTAGGCGCCTAGGAAATGGCACAAGCGAGTTGAAAGAAGGCGCGATGGTGTTGCTCTGTTGCCCCCCCCAACAAGGGTTCCTGGCTTGAAGCTGGATTTGCGAGGCTTGCGGTGGGTGGTTTGGGAGGAAATTGGGAGTACAGAGTGATCTCTGTCGTTGATGATGCATTTCGGTGCACCTTATCGACGGCAGAACGCTAAATGCGTCGATGCGAGAGCACCATTCAGACGTGTTTTGATTGGATTTCGCGATGTCAAAAATGTTTGTGGTGTGCGGGGATGGCTTGGCACATCCATGTGCGTGCGGGGCCAGTGCAAAGGGCGAACAGACTTCGCGGGCAGATGATAAAAAGTATAGGGTTCAATCGCCTCGGGCACCAGAAAGGTTCAATCGCGACCACTGGGAAGCTCACCACCTTTATCGAACGGCTTACTATCCTTCCGCGTGCAACCTTATCATTATTGGTCACCACCAAAAGCCTTATCGATCCGTCAAGATTTGCTCTATTGGCCGAAATAAAACATCAAGCAATCCCCGATGTCCCTTGAAAGCATCTCTGCAAGCAAGCAACAATTCAAATTGCTCGGTGAAGCTCACTCTTCCATAATCTGAGCTACTTGTCCAACATTCAGTCTACTTTGCTCACTAGCTTTCCGACCAACGCAGCCTCTAGTCGACTTTCCGCTTTTCAGTTTTGAAGTTCATACGATTTTCCTTAGTTCCAATGGCTCCTAAGGTTGAGGGAGAGCAGAAGGCCGCCAAGAAGGGCCCTAAGAAGGAGCCCGCCGCTAAGAAGGCAGTTCCCGCGGGGAAAAAGCCCATCGGCGACAAGAAAGAGAAGAAGAAGGCTCGCAAGGCCGTCACGGAAACGTACAAGATCTACATCTACAAGGTTCTCAAGCAAGTGCATCCAGACACAGGCATTTCGTCCAAGGCCATGTCGATCATGAACTCGTTTATCAATGACATCTTCGAAAAGCTTGCGACGGAGGCGTCGAAGCTTGCGCGGTACAACAAGAAGCCGACGATCACGTCTCGCGAGATCCAGACGGCTGTTCGGTTGACGCTGCCCGGAGAGTTGGCGAAGCACGCCGTGTCCGAGGGAACAAAAGCTGTGACGAAGTTCACAAGTGCCTAGTTTAGTGCTATTCATTAGGTTAATGTCTTGGCTGTAATATAACTCTACTAACCCGTTTTCTAACTATCACTCGGACCAAAAAGTTCGTATTTAACAGACAGATAAATGAGCCACTGGGACAAGGGCTGGGTAAGATTATCTCTACGCTACCTACATCCTTGCACGTGAATTCAATCACGTTCGCGGACAAGGTCAGACATGTTGGAAACAATCGGTCTTAAAGCCCGGGTACAGCATGTTCAAGATTCTTGAACTTGAAATCGCAAAAAACAGGGTTACCCTACTTGTTTTGAAGAAACTCTCGCAACCCCAGGCAATCGTCCTGCGACAACGGAACCCGAGTGCCCAAAAACAGAACTGATGCGATGATCGCCAACCATATGCACTGTTCACCACTCACATAACTTGCTTACCAAGTCGTACTCATAGGCGGTGTTCGCCACGACCACGTTAAAGGCTAGGGGCGAGGGATGGGCGGGGGATCTAGAAGGTGCGCCGGAAGATGCGAACTACGTCCGGGGGCTCGCCGTCAGGCAAGGGGATCTCGAAATTTCGCCAATGGGATCAGGAAGGGGGACAAGGGGATCTTGCACCTGCCTCCCCCCTTCCTTTAGGGCGAGATTTCCCGGCCATCCCGTTCCGCGCCCCCAAAATTCGTGGTATGCACGAGGGAGAGGCGAGGGAGGGGATGTGGTTCCTAGCTGGCAGGGCAGGAAACTGCCATGCGCATTCCGGATCCCCCGCCCATCCCTTTGATGGCCCAAAAAAGTGGGTGTTCGCCACGACAGCGAGCCCACCGAGGCTCGGAGGGGATCGTCAGGCTCGACAGGATTTTGTCGGTCTGACCGGACCTAAAACCCTGATTTCAGCCCTTTCGGAAGGTGCAGGGCGGGTTCCGGATCCCCCGCCCATCCCTTTGATGGCCTACAAAAGTCGTGGCGAACAGGGCCTAAGACTAGGAGGCTCCAAGGCAAAAACTAGCGCTAGTTGGCAAAAGCGAGTCGTTGTTAGGGCTTTTTTTTTGTGCGGAAAAAAAAATAGGTATCCACCTCAACCATCTTAGTCAGTGCACGCTCCGATTTCCCCCTCACGTCGCCGATCTCGTGTTACAACCCGTTCACCCGCAGCACTTACGTTAGTGAACAATCGTCGCGTTACTCGCGCCTTGCTTTCAAGCTCGCGTCGCACAAGATGCTCTTTTCACACTTGCTGCGGTTCAGCCTCGCGTCCCGATTTTACCGTTTTAGGCACGGGTCGCTCACGCGAATGCCGTACAGGTTCGCCAGACGCGCGCTGCCGTTAGTCTCAAATGTTCCCCCTCGTCGGCCGCTCTTTCCCACGTCATACCGCTTTCCTCGTCGCCCGCAATTTCCCTCATCTCCCTCGCCGACCCTCGCCGCCCTCGCCTCTGCTTGTCGCCCGCGCTTCCCGTCGTCGCCCTTGCTTCCCCGTCACCCGTGCTTCCCGTCGTCGCCCTTGCTTCCCCGTCACCCGTGCTTCCCGTCGTCGCCCTTGCTCTCCCGTCACCCGCGCTTCCCGTCGTCGCCCTTGCTTCCCCGTCACCCGCGCTTGTTCTCATCTCTCGCTCTCCTCCTCAACGTCTTCGTTTCCCTCGTCGCCATAACGCCCTCGCTTCTGCCCGTCGCCCTCGCCTCCCCACATACCCGCCTCCATCTCCCCCACATACCACCCGCCTTCCTCCCCACATTCTATTCCGCTTGTCATACGCTCTTCTCCTCTTCCTCCCTTCCATCTCTCCCTCCCTCCCTCTCCCTCTCTCTATCTCTCTTTCTTCGAACCTCTCTCTCACCCTTTCTTCCACCCTTCTTCCTCCTGAGGGGAAGGGACTGAATGAGAGACACAGAGGGGATAGGACAGAAGGGTATGCAGATGTTCTTTTCCCCCACGCGCTTCCCCTCATCGCCCTCACTTCCCCCAAATTGTTGCCCCCTGTCTCTGTTTTTCCCAACCACCCGTTCTCCCACCAGCCCTGCTTCCCCCTTTGCCCTGATTCCTTCCACCCTCTGCCCTGCTCCCCCCCATCCCCTTCCCTGCTTCCCCCCACCCTCTGCCCTGCTCCCCCCATCCCGTTCCCTGCTTCCCCCCACCCTCTGCCCTGCTCCCCCCCATCCCCTTCCCTGCTCCCCCCCACCCTCTGCCCTGCTTCCCCTCATCCCATTCCCTGCTTCTCCCCACCCCCTGCCCTGCTTCTCCCCATCCCCTTCCCTGCTCCCCCCCACCCCCTGCCCTGCTTCCCCCCATCCCCTTCCCTGCTTCCCCCCATCCCCTTCCCTACTTCTCCCCATCCGCTTCCCTGCTTCCCCCCCTCTTTTGCTGCTTCCCCCTACCCTCTGCCCTGCTCCCCCCCATCCCCTTCCCTGCTTCCCCCCATCCCCTTCCCTGCTTCTCCCCATCCCCTTCCCTGCTTCCCCCCATCCCCTTCCCTGCTTCCCCCCATCCCCTTCCCTGCTTCCCCCCATCCCCTTCCCTGTCTCCGTGTTACCCGTTTCCTTGTCCCTTTTCCCTGTGTCTCCCCACCCTCTGTTTTATTCCTTCACCCTCGCACACCTTACCGCCTGCCGACCTTACCGCCTGCCCACCTTACCACCTCAAATCCTTCCCTTCTCATCCGCGCGCAGGTGTGGCGGAAGGTGCACGTGCTGCCTTGTGCCTGCCGCTTGCTGTCCACGCCTTCCATCCCACCTCTCCCAAACCACGTCTTTTTCTATATGTGCCTCCCCTGCTGGCCCATACCCTCTGCTGATCTGCGCCCTATGAGGCCGTGCCCTCTCTGTTCCCCGCCCCTGCATGTACGGAGGGATTGGGAGCCGCTTTGCCTAGCAGCCAGCACTGTGCAGGCAAGGATTCGAACTGGTGGATCATGGGGCAAGGGTAAGGGAGTGTGTTGTGCGGCATGGTCAGTGCGGAGTGGCGTGGGAGGGAGGCAAAATGGCAAGCACAGGGTGAAGGCAGGCAGGGACCGTGGCAAAAATATGGAGATTGGCAGTGTCAGCAGGATGTGCGGCAGGATGCTGGCAGCAGCGCACGTCAGGGCATGTGCGGTGGGGCAAGGCTGGTCTGCGCTGCGGTGGGCCGGGGGAGTGCAGATTGTGTCAGATTTATATGACATAGCTACTGTAGGCTATAGTGGGGTAGCACATATGGGGTACAGTTTTCTAGGGTTTGCTTCTTGTACCCAACTTTCACTTAGTCATTCCATTCCTCGTTTCTTCTCATGGTATCGAGCAGGTTCCCTAGTGGGAACGATTCCTAGGGCCCACCACCACGAAAATTTTTTTTCCTGCCCGGAGCGCGTTTTGCGCCGGCCCGAGTCGCGCCCGTCGCGCCCGTCGCACCTGTCGCGCCCGTTGCGCCCGTCGCGCCCGTCGCGCCCATCGCCACCTACCTCCGCGGCCCCGCCACCTACCTTCGCGGCCCCGCCACCTCACTGTGCGGCCCCGCCACCTACCTCCGCGGCCCCGCCACCTACCTGTGCGGCCCCGCCACCTACCTTCGCGGCCCCGCCACCTCACTGTGCGGCCCCGCCACCTACCTCCGCGGCCCCGCCACCTACCTGTGCGGCCCCGCCACCTACCTTCGCGGCCCCGCCGCCTTACTGTGCGGCCCCGCCACCTACCTCCGCGGCCCCGCCACTTACCTTTGCGGCCCCGCCGCCTCCTCCCAGCGGCCCCGGACGCCGCCCTCTCAGCGGCCCCGCCGAGCCGCCCAGCAGCCGAGTCGACCAGCAGCCGAGCCGCCCAGCAGCCGAGCCGCCGAGCCGCCCAGCCGCCGAGCCGCCCTGTCCGCAGCCGAGCCGCCCAGCAGCCGAGCCGCCCCGCCGCCGAGCCGCCCAGCCACCGAGCCGCCCAGCCGCCGAGTCGTCGAGCTGCCGAGCCGCCCTGCAGCCGAGCCGCCCGAACCGCCCTGTCCGGTAAGAGCAGCGCCTCTCTCACAGCACTGCCCTCGCCCTACTGTTTGCACTGCTAGTCTACTGCTGTCATGGCTACCCCTAGTGTCCTCGCTTTTGACGCTGAGGGTCGGGCCATTGACTTTGACGTCTGGATAGATGACCTGCAGCTTTTCTTACAGTGCGACAGAGCAGACGGCCTCTCCCTCTTTGACCTCACTTCTGGTGCCTCTCCTGCCCCCGCTGCTGATGCTGACGCCACCGTTCGCTCACAGTGGGCCACGCGCGATGCTGCTGCACGTCTTGCTGTGCGTCGCCACCTCCCTACCTCTGAGCGTGCGCACTTTAGCCAGTACAAGAGTGCTCAGACCTTGTACGACGCTGTAGTTGCACGCTACTCCTCCCCTGCCACTGCTGCACTGAGCCGCCTCATGCTACCGTACCTCTTCCCTGACCTTGCTGCCTTTCCCACAGTCGCTGACCTCATTACGCACCTCCGCTCTAGTGACACTCGCTACCGCGCTGCGCTTCCTGCTGAGTTCTGCGCCAAGAACCCCCCCCCCATGTACATCACCCTCTACTACATAGTCACCCGTCTCCCTGACTCCCTTCGCGTAGTCAGGGACCACTTCCTCTCGGTTTGTCCCACCACTCTCACCGTTGACCTCCTCGAGAAGGCCCTCCTAGCAGCAGAAAAGAGCATAGTTGCTGTAGGAGCCTCTCGTGGTGACCCTCGCACCCCCATCTTTGAGGGGTGTTCCCCCTCCCCTCTTTTGCCCTCTGTTGCCTCTGCTGCTGCGGCCGACCTCGCTGGTTTGGAGTCGGTTGGGGCAGCGTCTACCCCTAGCGGGAGACGCCGCCCTGGCAGGGGCAAGGGGGGCAGGGGCGCTGGAGGAGCTTGCGGGGGCGGTGGAGGCGGCGGTGGAGGTAGTGGAGGAGGTGGGGGTGGCGGTGGGAGTGGTGGCGGGGGTGGAGGTGTAGGTGGCGGCAGTGGAGGCGCAGGAGGCAGCGGCGGTGGCGGAGGGAGCGGAGGTGGCGGCGGTGGAGGAGGAGGCGGCGGAGGAGGTGGAGCTGGTCGGGGTGGCGCTGCGCAGAGGGTCAGCTCCGGTGGTGGTCAGCGCCAGCAGCAGCAGCAGCAGCAGCAGCAGCAGCGCACTCGTGACGTCCCCTCCCCTCAGCAGCTCCGTGAGTGGTACACTGCACGCCAGAGGGGTGGGGGTGCTGGTCCGTGCACCTACGTCCTGCGCACCGGCGACCGCGCGGGTGAGCAGTGCGGGGGTGCGCACTCCACCCAGCGCTGCTTTGGCCGCCTCACGGACGCTTGGCGTCACCAGTTCCCTGAGGCCACTGAGATCCCCCGCTGGGGTGAGCTGTCTAGGGCGGGTGTAGCTGTCTTTGACCTTGACTTTGATGCTATTCTTGCTGCCGTGTATACTGTGACTATTAGTGATGAGGGTGACTGTTACCGGTGTTTTCCGCCCGACCCGGGCATTGAGACTGCTGCTCTAGGTACTGGTGAGGCTGCTGCTCTAGGTGCTAGCGAGGCTGCTGCTCTAGGTGCGTCTGCTCCCTCAGGTGCTGGTGGGTCTGCTCTCTCAGGTTCTGCGTCGGCTTCGGCCTCCCACACCTTCACACTTGACTCGGGGGCTTCTCGCTCCTTCTTTCGAGACCGCACCACACTCACGCCGCTTGGCCGGCCAGTTGCGGTCTCCCTGGCAGACCCCTCTGGGGGTCCTGTCCTTGCTCACTTCTCCACTGTCCTCCCGTGTCCGGCGGCCCCCTCTGGCACCCTGTCTGGTCTCTACCTCCCCTCGTTCTCTACGAACTTGGTGAGTGGTGCTGACCTACAGGATGCGGGGGTTCACCAGTTCACTCCTGCGAGTCAGCGGGTGACCCACTGCACGGACGCTCGGACAGGCCGCCACCTGGCCACGTTTACACGTCGGCCAGGGTCGAGCCTGTACACACTGACCACTGCGTCTCCTCCAGTCCCTGCGTCTGGTCAGGTAGCTGCGTCGGGTCAGGTGTTTGCTGCAGCGTCCAGGTCTGGTCCTGAGTCTGCCCCCTGCTCGTGTCGCCTCCTGTCTCACGAGACTCTCCTCTGGCACCACCGCCTTGGCCACCCCTCCCTGCTTCGTCTCCGGAGCATGGCCTCCCGTGTCCTTGTCTCTGGTCTTCCCCGGTCCCTCCCTCCCCTTCCTCCGGGGCCAGGCCCTACCTGCGTCCCCTGTGTCGAGGGACGGCAGCGGGCTACCCCTCACTCCTCCCAGTTTCCTCCGACAGAGGCCCCGCTGCAGACGCTTCACATGGACGTGTGGGGCCCGGCCCGCGTCCGTGGACAGGGTCACGAGCGCTACTTCCTGCTGGTGGTTGACGACTACTCGCGTTACACCACAGTCTTCCCCTTGCGCAGCAAGGGTGATGTCACTGAGGTGTTGATCGACTGGATCCGCGCAGCTCGTCTCCAGCTCAGGCGGAGCTTTGGCTCGGACTTTCCTGTTCTGCGTCTGTACTCTGACAGAGGCGGAGGGTTCTCCTCTGGCCTTCTGCGAGCCTACTGTCGTGCACGAGGCATCCGCCAGACCTTCACGCTTCCGGACTCTCCACAGCAAAATGGGATTGCTGAGCGCCGCATTGGCATGGTCATGGACGTCGCCCGTACGTCCATGATGCATGCGGCTGCCCCCCATTTTCTGTGGCCGTTTGCGGTTCGGTACGCGGCGCATCAGATCAACCTTCAGCCCAGGGTCTCCATGCCGGAGACCTCCCCAGCTTTGCTGTGGACGGGGAAGGTTGGCGATGCGTCTGCGTTCCGTGTCTGGGGATCTCGGGCGTTTGTCCGCGACTTGTCTGCGGACAAGCTGTCCCCTCGTGCTGCTCCTTGCGTCTTCCTGGGTTTCCCCCCTGACGCCCCAGGGTGGCAGTTCTACCACCCCACCTCTCGCCGTGTTCTGTCCTCCCAGGACGTCACGTTCGACGAGTCGGTCCCCTACTACCGCCTCTTCCCCTACCGCACTCCGTCCCTCCCCCCGCCACCGCTCTTCCTTGTACCAGGTCCCCCCCCGGTAGACCCCCTCCCCCCTCAGGGTCCTGCCCCTTCAGGTGTGTCCCAGGTAGACGCTGTTGAGCCTGTCGAGGTCGCTGGTGACTCTGGTGCTGCTGAAGGTGCTGAGCCTGGGGGTGCTGACTCTGGGGGTGCTGAGCGTGTGGGTGCTACGCCTGGGGGTGCTGAGCCTGGGGGTGCTGAGCCTGGGGGTGCTGAGTCTGGGGATACTACGACTGGGGGTGCTGAGCCTGGGGGTACTACGCCTGGAGGTGCTGAGCCTGGGGGTGCTGCGTCTGGGGGTGCTGAGCCTGGGGGTACTACGCCTGGAGGTGCTGAGCCTGGGGGTGCTACGCCTGGTGGTGCTGTGCCTGGCGGTTCACCGGGTGCTCCCTCTCACCGGGAGCCACTCTCTCCCCAGGAGCTGCGTGAGTGGTTTGCCCGGCGCTGGAGGCGAGCTGCTGGAGCTGGAGGTGCTGCGGGTACTGGAGGTTCTGTTGCTTCTGAGGGAGCTGGTGCCACGGGTCCCGGAGGTGCTCGTACTGGGAGTACTGGAGCTGCTGGACCTGCGGGTACTTCTGGAGCTGGAGTTGCTGCGGGTGTTGGCGCGGAGGCTACTGCTGTCGGTCCTGGAGGCGGTCCTGCTGGGGGTACTACTGGTGCTGCTGGGGGTTCTGGAGCTGGAGCTGCTACTGGTGCTGGTGCTGCCCCTGGGGTTGCTGGTGCTGTCCCTCCTGTGTCTGGAGTCGCCGCGCGGCCTCGGCCGTACTTCGTTCCGCTCCTTCAGCAGGTTCTTGGTCTCCCGCCTTCTACTGGTCCTCCTCCTCCCTTAGAGTGTCCACAGCCTGTCCCGTCGCAGTTACAGTTACAGCCGGCCTCCCCACTGCCTGC